GAACAATGGATAATAATCACAGCGCTAATCTGACATGTTCTTCTTTTTAGACAGCGATGTATCCTCCAAGCTGGCAGCCACAAATCTGAGCGATGCTACCGGTCTGCGGCCAAATTCTTCGTCTCTGCAAGATCTCCGAGAACGAATATACAGAACTTCCTTTTTCCATCAACGTAAAGACAAAGAAGGCGAAAAGAAGGAATTCTCCGTCGATGAAACGCCGGCCTCACCTACTTCCAGCTATGACCACGATCGAAGCACCACGCCGTCGGTAAAAATAACCTACGATTTCTTTCAAGCGCTCCCGGTCATTGTTTGGTTAGACTTTGTGTGTGATTAGGTTGTTGAGTCTCTCACTTTACCCTTTGGTTGGATACCTTGACCTTGATACCCTTGAGAAATCGTATATCGTATCTGGTAACCTAATTGTGTATTCTTCGAGTTCTTGACTTTGTAGTTCGTTCGCAAATAGTAGTCTTACGTTAGTGCTAAAATCAGGATGCTGGTTGCTACCTGTAAACGCCATGTCTTATTGATCACGCTTGTAATAGTCGTAGACAACATAATGTAGTTTCAGTAAGACTGTTGAAAATATTATCCTTTTTTCTTTAGGGTTTACGAGGTCTTTGTCAGGTGGTAGTCGAGCGTCTGCGAACATAAGATCGTCTGATCAATTTTTTGAACATGAGCGCAATATCTTGATATCCAAGTAAGAACTGAAATGACGAAGGCGATGAACACGGCAGAGACGAGATAAAATTTCGAGTACGACTTGGTAGCATACGCCAGATATATTTAGAGGTTCAGAAATATTTACTCCATGGTCGTTACAGATGCAATATCTTTTGAACAGAAACAGTGGCACTCTCGAAATTGGAACCTCTCTGGAACGGGAGCGGCACTTCTGTTCAGTCATAGATCCGCTTGCCAAAGCTGCTGGTGGAATCAGCCCACTTGTACAGTTCTAAAGCCTGGACGTTGACAACGGCAGCAGAGAAAACATACAAACGTTTGTTTGAGCTGCCGCTCTTTCAATGCTTGCTGTGCATTCGTCACACTGCACATATGATTAGCGACGTAGTCAAAAAATAACTGAACAAGTCGCCGATAAGCCTGAATTGCTGCCTCATATGTTATGTACCAGTCAATTAAGAAAGCGTAGTTAACGTCAAAGAAGTACTGGATAAGTATATCCAATGTCTTACTCAGGCGGAAGATCCCCTCAGCAATGGAAAGAACTTTCTTTCTTTGCAGCAGATATGGCCCGGCGATAATGAGGAATGATTATGATTGCATTTTTTTGGAGTTACATCGACAAATGGTAGTCAGTCTTCATGAAACGGTGGTGCCAACTCCTAAACATCAGATAGACAGATTTTATCAGCAACATTGCCGGAAAGTGTGGCCAGTTTGCTTTGCTTCATTCCTTGACATACATGATTGCTGAAGGAACATGGAATCATGAAATGGGAATATGTAACAAACGAAGGCACAGGTTACAATGTTTGACTGTCTGAATAGCTGGTTGACTGAAGTGGCTGACTGCCTGATTTTGCATTGAATGCAAAAATGTGAATAGAGCGGAATTGTTGATATTTCATATATGAGATCAAATCGTCAAATCCATTATTCATTGTTACTATGTTTTAACAATTAACGAAGTGCTTTGTATGAACAGTGTCACAGTTCTGCGATATCACATGTTATTATAATTATTACTACCTAGCAGTATTTTCAGTAATTTATATAATTTCGATTTTTTATTGATTTATTTCATTTTGATATTCATTGTCTCAAAACGGCGTTATCCATAAGTTCTTTGTGAGTTCATTTTAATTTGAAAAACATCTGCACAAGTGATCTGTTATTGTTTGTCCATTTTCTTACATTCATGCTTCATCGCTACTGCTGCCGTCATAGTCAACGCAGTAGTGCCATTCCTCATCGTCGATGATTTTGGCTTGGATGATAGTTGGCATTATCATTTTTGAACCGGTCTTTTCATACAATGTCTTTGTACTTTCGAATATTCACTGTAATCGGAAGCCTGTTTTATGATTTGCATATTTACATATTGTTATTCGTCTGTTTTTTCGATTCTGACAAGATACGTTTAGGCACATGAAATAAATTCTGACTCCGGAATCGAGTCGCCTGAGCCAGCGCAGAGGATGTCACTGATGGACAGGCTGCGTGTGGAATTTGGACTGGAGGACAGCGAAGAACATCAGCCGAGTTGTTCAGAAAAAACCAGAGATCAAAGCTTTACCCCTCGTTCGTCGGAAGCTCCCTTGGATCAGGGCTATATTCCTTCGAGCTGCGCGGCAGAGAGTCGCCTGTTGATGACGATGCCGGCGATCACTGTCTTGCCACGTTCTTTTACACAGCCGCCGCCCGTTTATTCGATGCCTGGCACTCAGATGGCCTCGACCTTACCGCAAATTCCGGTGCCCTGTCTTCCTCCTCGTTGCCTCCTGCCTATGCGGACACAGTTGCTCCCCCCGTTGCCCCCACTACTCCCTTCGTTGCCTGTCGCAAACACGC